ATTAAGGGAAGGGCCTCGGCTGGTACAGAGATTTGGGCTGCAGCCTGGCCTGGGTGAGCGGGGCCACATGGAAAAGGGATCCCAGATCCCCCAAACCCCCCAGTCCTGCACCCCAACACTCTCCTGCCTGCACCAGGGGGCTGTGACCCACTGGGGGGTCGCTGGAGCAGGGGGATGCACAGTGACTGGCTCCATCCCAAAGGATGTCACTGGAGGGGACCGGTCGGCCTGGCTCCCGTGGGGTGGTGACAGCCCACACTCACACCCTTGCACAAGGGCTTGGGACACCCAGTGCCTGGGGACACCCGGTGCTGGTGGCCAGCCTGGGAACAGTCCCCTGCCAGGAGGTGACCGGTGATCCCGGCTGCATGTGGCAGCAGGGACAGGGCACAGCGTGACCCTTCCCTGGGAACGTCCCAGTCTTGGCTGAGGGGTTTTTGGGGCGACAAGGAGGGGACAGATCTCCAGCCTTGGAGTTTCTGGGGAGGGATCAGGGACCCCTTCACCAACTGTCTCTCTTGTCCCCGCAGTTCCGGGAGAAGCTGCAGGACGTGCTGCCCTCCCTGCCCGCTCAAGACGACTATTTCCTTCTGAAATGGCTCCGAGGTAACACCAAAGTGTGGGGCATCCCTGGGGGGGGGGGGCTGGGAGACCCCCGGGGGTCCTGTGGGGGGCTGATCTCTGAGCTCTCTGCTCTCTTGCAGCGCGCTGCTTCGACCTGCCCAAGGCAGAGGCGATGCTCCGCAAGGTGAGAGGGGCACCCCGCTTTTGGGGTGTCCCTGGACTGTCCCCTGGCATGGGACATACCTGGCATGGGAGAGTGCACCCCAGGCCATCAGCCCAGCCCCTCTCTCCCAAGAGTGACATGCCCATGGGGTGCACCCCATCCCATGGGGTCCCCAAACCTCACCCTGGCTCACTCTGCCCCCCCCCAGCACCTCGAGGTCCGCAAGCGCATGGACGCCGACAACATCATCGCCTGGGAGGCACCTGAGGTGGGTGTCCCTGGCCCCTGGGGCGTGGCCCTGGAGGGGACTGTCCCCCTGAGCCCCCCCAGGGGTGTGCAGTGCCCTGAGCCCCCCGTGCTCCCGCAGGTGATCCGCAAGTACATGTCCGGGGGGATGTGCGGCTACGACCGCGAGGGCAGCCCGGTGTGCTACGAGATCATCGGGCCTCTGGACGCCAAGGGGCTGCTCTTCTCCGCCTCCAAGCAGGACCTGCTCAAGAACAAGTTCCGGGACTGCGAGGTGCTGCGGCACGAGTGCGAGCAGCAGACCAAAAAGGTGGGCACCTGCCTGTGCCCTGCTGGCCACAAAGGCTCTGTGCCCACCAGCTCCATGGGACCACAGCCCTGCCAGCCCCACTAGTCCACATCTGGTCCGTCCCTCCCAGCCAGCATCCTCCCCAGCACTACACATCCATGTCCTATCCCCCATAAGTCCATCTCTGGTCCATCCCTACCACCTAATAACCTCCCCAGCCCCATACATCCATCTCTGGTCCATCCCTACCAGCCAACGTCCTCAGCCGCCAGCTCTGCTAGTCCATGTCCACTCCATATCCATCAGTCCATATCCCTGCCAGCCCCACAAGTCTGCGTTCTGTCCATCTCCCCCATCCAATGTCCTCCCTAGCCCTATAGGTCCTATAGATCCAGGATCCCCTGTCCATCCCCCTCAGTCCATGTTCCTGCCACCTTACAAGTCCACATCTGGGCCTTCTCCATCACCCAATGTCCTCTCCAGACCGATATGTCCATCTCTGGTCCATCCCAAACATCCAATGTCCTTGACAGCCCTATATATCCTGTATGTCCATATCCTGTCCATCCCCCTTAGCCTGTGTCCCTGCCAGCCCATGTCCTGTCCATCTCCACCATTCAATGTCCTCCACAGCTCCACAGTCCTCATGCATCTATCTCTGGTCCATGCCTACCAGCCAATGTCCTCACTCACCAGCCCTATAGGTCATTCCATCCCCCTCGGCCCCACAAGTCCATGTCCTGTCCACTCCACCATGGACCATGTCCCTGCCAACCTCATATGTCCATCTCTGGTCCATCCCCACAATCCAATGTCCTTCCCAGCCCCATATATCCATGTCCTATCTATCCTCACAAGCTCCTGACCCCCAGCCCATGTCCCTGTCCCAGCTGGGACCCCCAGTGTTGCCCCTTGTCCACATACCAACACTTGGGAGGAGGCTGTGGCTGGAGGGGACCAGCCTGTCAGGAACCACCCCATCCCTGAACCCCCTTGCCTAATTCCCCCCATCCTCCTGCCCCAGCTGGGCAAGAAGGTGGAGATGGTGATGATGATCTACGACTGCGAGGGCCTGGGCCTGAAGCACCTCTGGAAACCAGCCGTGGAGGCGTATGGGGAGGTGAGGGGCTCCTGCCCATCCCACTGCCCTGGGGGACCACAGGGATCCAGGCTGAGCCCTGGCCCTGGGGATGATGCAGGAGCAGGTCCCTGTGGTGCCCTGCAGCCCCCAGCATTTTGGGGTGAGGGTCCTGGTGGCTGCATGGGATGGGTGACCTGAGCTCCCCCCATCCTGCAGCTCCTGTCCATGTTCGAGGAGAACTTCCCGGAGTCCCTCAAGCGCCTGTTTATTGTGAAGGGTGAGTTCAGCCCTGAGGCCCTGCTCCCCCTGTCCGGGTGCTGACACCCCTCTAACACCCCTCACCGCCCCCCAGCCCCCAAGATCTTCCCCGTGGCCTACAACCTGGTCAAGCACTTCCTGAGTGAGGACACGCGCAAGAAGGTCGTGGTGCTGGGATGTGAGTCCTGACCCCCCTCGGAGCGTCCAAAACAGGGGTGACACTCTGCTGTCATCTCACCCAGGGGGCTCCCCCAACCCCGGGGGGCTCCCCAGCTGGCCAGGGGCTCACAGCCCCCCCAAACCCACTGTCACCCCCCAGCCAACTGGAAGGAGGTCCTGCAGAAGTACATCGACCCTGACCAGATCCCAGTGGAGTATGGGGGCACCATGACAGACCCCGACGGGGACCCCAAGTGCTCCAGCAAGGTAGGAGAGGCTCTCGCTGGATTACTAAGGGGTGCCAGGTGGTTCACCCATGCCCACATCCTCCATCCCCTCCCAGATCAACTACGGGGGGGACGTGCCGCAGAGCTACTACGTGCGGGACCAGCTGGCGCAGCAGTACGAGCACTCGGTGGTGGTCAACCGGGGGTCGTCCCACCAGGTGGAGTACGAGATCCTCTTCCCCGGCTGCGTGCTCAGGTGAGCAGGGCTCCGTGCCGCGGGGCGGGGAGGGGGTGACACCCTGGCGGTGCCCCCAGCCCACCGCGGGCCCCCCGTGCCCGGCGCAGGTGGCAGTTCCGCTCGGAGGGCGCCGACGTGGGTTTCGGGGTGTACATGAAGACCAAGATCGGGGAGCGGCAGCGGGCGGGCGACATGACCGAGGTGCTCCCCAACCAGCGCTACAACGCCCACATGGTGCCTGAGGACGGCTCCCTCACCTGCTCCACGCCCGGCATCTGTGAGTGACCCCGGCCCCGGGGTGCTCCCCGTGTCCCTGACCCTTGGCGGTGCTTCCTCTGTGTCCCTGACCCCCGGGATGCTGCGGGGGACCCCCGGGGTGTTCCCCCCATGTCCCTGATCCCCCAGGGTGCTCCCCCCGTGTTCCTGACCCCCGGGGATGTTGGGGGGAACCACTGAGGTGCTCCCCATGTCCCTGGCCCTTGGGGGTGCTTCCCCCATCTCCCTGACCCCCCAGGGTGCTCCCCCCCATATCCCTGACCCCCAGGGTGCTCCTCCCATATCCTTGACCCCCAGGGTGCTCCTCCCATATCCCTGACCCTCGAGGAGTGCTTCCCCCATGTCCCTGATCCTCAGGGGGTGCTTCCCGTGTGTCCTTGACCCTGGGGTGCTGGGGGGGACCCCCGGGGTGCTCCCCCTGCTTCCCTGATCCCCGGTGTGCTCTCCCCCTGCCTCTGACCCCGGGGTGCTCCCCCCGTGTCCCTGACCCCCCGTCCCGTCCCTCCCCCAGACGTGCTGCGGTTCGACAACACGTACAGCTTCCTCCACTCCAAGAAGGTGAGCTACACCGTGGAGGTGCTGCTGCCCGACACCGCCTCGGCACAGCAGATCCAGCAGCTGGGGGACCGGCTGGGCGAGGTGTCCCTGAACCACAGCCCATAGACCCCCCCGCCGGGCCCCCAGGATGGCCGGGAGCCCCCCCGGAGGAGGATGGAGCCGGGGCTGAGCCCCGGAGCTGACGGACTGAGGCGAGGGCTGAGCGCGGCCGGAGGGGGCCGAGCGCCCGCAGCCCCCCCCATCTCTGTGCCTTACGTGGGTCCTGCGCCCACCCACTGCTGCTGCTGCCTGGGGTGGGGAGTAAAGGGACGGACTGAGCGGGGTCTGCTCCGGTTTGTGGCCCTCGGGCCCAGAACTGCCCCCCCAGCGCCAGATCTGCCACTCCAGTCTCACAACTGCCCCCAGCCCCAGATCTGCCCCTGCTGCCCACCTGCCCCAAAACTTCCTCAAAGCCCCATAACCGACCTCCAACCCCACAACTGCCCCTGCTGCCCCACCCCGGTCCTATAACTAACCCCCCAGCCCGAGAACTGCCCCCTAAACCCATAACCGCCCCTGCTGCCCCCCAGGCCCAGAATTGCCACCCCAGTCCCAGATCTGACCCCGCTGCACCCCAATAACTGCTCCAACCCTATAACTGCCCCCGACCCCATAACTTCCCTTGCTGCCCCCCAGGCTCAGAATTGCTGCCCCAGGCCCAGAACTGCCTGCTGCCCCCAACCCCATAAGTGCTGCCCCCACCCTATAACTGCCCCTGCTTCCCCCCAACCCTATAACTGCCCCTCCTGCCCCCACCCCAGAACCACCCCCTTGCCCCCTCACGTGACCGCCGGTCACGTGCGCGGCCAGGCCCCGCCCCCACCGCCATCTCGCGCCCCAATGGGGCGGGGCCCTTGATGACGTTCATGGGAGGGGCGGGGCTCGGTGACGTTCAGGGGCGGGGCCGCGGAGGGGGCGGGGCATGCGGCGGGAGCGGCGGGGGCCATGGGGGCGGCGGAGCAGGACGTGTACCGGGACACGTGGGTCCGATACATGGGTGAGCTCCGGGACACCGGGCACCGACAGGCACGGGGGGACACCGGGCACCCACAGGCACGGGGGATCGGTACCGGCAACTGCGGGAACTCCGGGAACAGGCACTGACATGGAGCACTGACACCGGGAACCGGGCACTGACATTGAATATGACACCGGGAGCCGGGCACTGACACCGGGAACCGGGCATTGACATTGAGTATGGCATCGGGAACGGGACACTGACACCGGGAACGGGGTACTGACATTGAGCACTGACATCGAGAACTGGGTACCGGCACCGGGCACTGACACCGGGAACTGTGGGCTGAGATTGGGTACCAGCACCAGGAGCTGCAGGAATGCCGGGAACTGGGCACTGGCACTGGATACGAGCACTGGGAACCAGGCACTGACACGGGAACCAGGGCACTTATACCCAGCACCAGCACTGGGCACAACAGCAGGAACCAGTACCGGGTACTGCCATTGGGTACAGGGTACTGTCACAGGGCACCAGCAGCAGGCACTGACACCAAGAACTGGCACGGGGTACTGAGCAATGGCACAGGGCACTGACACCGGGAACTGGGCCCTGACATCGGGTGCCAGCACCCGGGGCAGGGGGCACTGGCAGTGGGTATGGGGTCCTGGCACTGGGCACTGGCACCGAGTGTCGGCCACTGTCACAGGGCAACGGGAACTGTGCGTTGTCACTGGGTACTGACATCTGGTGTTGGGCACTGACAGCAGGAACCAGGCACTGATGGTGGTTGCTGGGCACAACAGGGCACCGACAGATTTGCAGCACAGATACCAGGCACTGTGTTGGGTACCAGCACCAAGCACCACACCAGAAACTGGGCACTGACACCCAACACCATGTACTGGGCACTGCACAGGACACTGACCCAGGGTACTGGGTATCAGCACTGAGCACTGGCACTGCATACCGGGTACCAGCACTGCAGAGCAGCACCACAACCTGGCACCAGCACCAGCTACCCATCATTGTCACTCATGCTGGGCACCAGCACCTGTACTGGGCACTGGGACCATTCACAGACACTGGGGACCAGAATCCAGTTACCATCACCAGGCACTGGTCATAGACACACTGATACCAGCACTGGACACCAGTCACACACATCAGTACTGCCACTGGGCACCAGCCACAGACACCAATACTGGCTCTGGGCACTGATACCAGCACTGGGCACCAGCCACAGACACCAGTCCTGGCACTGGGCTCTGGGCCCTGTCACTGGTCACCCCCAGCCCAGCTGTCTGGTGGCAGTGAGGTCCAAGGATCCACCCCTGCTTACAGTGACATAGGGACACTGAGGGAGGACAGAGGGACACTTTGGAGTGGTGACATGGGTATACAGCCTGTCCCTGTCCGTGCTGACCCCCCCATCCCCCCCAGGTTACGCCAATGAGGTGGGCGAGTCGTTCCGCGCGCTGGTGCCGGTGCCGGTGGTGTGGGCCAGCTACGGCGTGGCCACCGCCTACGTGACCGCTGACGCCATCGACAAGGGCCGGAGAGCTGCCACCGTGAGTCCCACCCCATCCCCACCCACCCCCACACACCCCACCGACCCCTGCTGACCCCCGTGTCCCCCCAGGCCCACGCACAGGACCCCACGCGGGTGGGGGTGGCCGTGGTGGACACCTTTGTGTGGCAGGGCCTGGCCTCGGTGGCCATCCCCGGCTTCACCATCAACCGGCTCTGCGCCGCCTCGCTGGCCCTGCTGGGGACCCTGACCCGCTGGCCCCTGCCCCTGCGCCGCTGGGCCACCACCGCCCTGGGGCTGGCAGCCATCCCCCTCATCATCACCCCCATCGACAGGTAACGGGGACACCCCTGGGCGGGGGGCAGGCGGGTGCCACCACCCCATCCCTGCATCCGAGGGATGGAACGTGACTTGTCTCAGTGTGGGCTTGGGGCTGGGAGCATGGGGGGCTGGGGGAGGTGTCTCCACCCCAGAGGGGCTTTGCTGGAGTCCAGCAAGGACATGTCCCTGTCAGGATGGGGATTACCCAGAGCTGAGCTGGGATTAGCACACTGAAGCTGTGCTAAGCCTTGTTTTGGTGGGGCTGGTGTCTTGGGGTCATTAGGGACAGCCCCACCCATCCCCCATCACATCCAGTACCACAGGGACCTCCCTGAGACCCCCCCACTGTCCCCTCTCCTGCTGCAGGACTGTGGATTTCCTGATGGATTCCAGCCTCCGCAAGCTTTATGGGACACCAGGAGAGCCCCCGACACCCCACTGAGCCCCTCCAGCCTGGGGAAACCAAGGCACTGCTGTGACCCACCTACTGTGACCCCTCACTCCAGTGATGACCCTGGAGCAGCCACTCTGCCCCACACTGGTCCTAATAAACCATTTCAAATGTGAGCCCTGCTGGGTGATGCTCAGGTGCCACCACAGCTGGGCCGGAGCCATGTCCCCTCCTGGGGGGACACATGGGTCTGGCTGGGACCCAACCCATCTTGGGGATCTCCACCCTGGGACAGGGGGTCTCTACCTGCCCAGAGCAGCCCCGGTGGCCCCACCATGTAACCCCTCCATCTCTCCACAACCTCATGGGACATCCTGCAGACTTGTCACCCTAAGGAGCTGCCACCATGTCCATGGTATCCAGGGACCCAAAATCCCCCCAGCTTCAGCACCACAGCCTGGGACTGTGCCACCACACCTGGAAGTCACATCTCCAGGTACCTGGAGGAACCTGGAGCAGTTATGGCTTGTCAGTGTAGTGGCACGTCCCCATCCCATGGTGGCATCCACACACTACCCCCAGGAGAAGCTGTAGAGGAAACAAAGCCACGTTTATTGTGGAGAAAGGGGGTCTGGTCCCACCTCACCCCGTTTCCCTGTCTCCCTGAGGACCAGGGCCCCCACCACGCTCTGCAGCTCAGCCTGGAAGGGAGACCTCTGCCTCGGTGGCCGCTGTCCCCGCCGGCGTGTGCCCAGGCGCCAAGTGGTCAGGGCCAGCCCCAGCAGCCCCCCCACTGCAGCCACCACCACCACGGCACTGCCCACCAGGGCCAGCCCGGCCAGCAGGAACCTCTTCATGGTGTGGCATGGCCCTGGGGACAGCAGAAAACACACCAGTGGGGGGGTCACTGGGTGGTCCAGCACTTGGGGAGGGAGGTTTGGGGACATGGGAGAGGGTTGGGGTGTCCCTCACCTTCGTACCATGGCACCTTCTCCTTCTGCACCAGCACTGGTCCAACTGTCTCCTGGTGGAGTGTCCCCTCACCTGGGAATGCTGTGGGAGGACATGGCAAATACAGCTCATCCCAGGCCCACGAGCTCCTCCCAAGACCCCAGAACAACGTGGAGTCACCGTGTCCCACCCCCGTTACCTGGCAGGTGTCCTGGGAGGGTGTCACCATGGGGACAGCTGGTGTCACAGCAGTGGCACTGGGCACTCTGGGAAGGGTCCTCTGCGTTGTGCCAGCTGGGGGAGAGGACAGAGCTGAGGGGGTGGTCTAGGGGTCCCCATACTCCAGCACAAGACCCACATGGTGCCACCCCAGAGGAGGTGTCCTCCAGGTGACTCCAAACACCTCCCTAATTCATCTGCACCGTGAGGGTGCTTGGACCTGTGGTGATGCCACCAGCTGCCATCAGAGAAGAGGTGGCATCCAGCCTGCAGTGGGGTGACCTGGTTCCCCCCCCAGGTGGGTCCCTGTGACCGGTGGGTTCTGCTCCCAACACACCCGCGAGTGCTCCAGCACCCAACACTCAGCGTACCTGGCCGTGGTGTGGCTGTAGAAGCAGGACCTGGTGGCGTGTCCTTGTCCCCACGCTGTCAGCAGGCAGTGCACATAGACCTGCCAGGACACCCCCCTGCTGTGTCCTTCCTTGGAGACCCTGCTCTCCTCCCCTCCAATCCCGAGGGGCTGAGACCATGCCAGCAGGGAGCTGGATGCCTCAGGAAGGAGCTGGATGCCCCAGGAGGGACAGTGCTTAGGGAACCCCAGGTAACCCCCCTCCATGGGACCTCCATCCCGCTGTGTCATTCCTCAGGGACCCTGCTCTCCTCCCACCCCACCCTATGGGGCTGAGACCACCCCAATGCCCCTGGCAGTGCTTTGGGACGCCCAGGTCACCCCACTCCGTGGGACCTCCATCCCACCATGTCCTTCCTTGGGGACTTCACTCTCTTCCCACCCAACCTTCCTCCAAGACCACCCCAGAAGAGACAGTGCTTTAGGACCCCCAGGTCATCCCCCTCCATGGGACCTCCATCCCACCACCAGGGCATCTCCCCGACCTCACCTCCTCCTCCTCAGTCTCACCCTCCAGCGTGGGGGCCAGGATGGAGAGTTGGAGGGCAGACCCCCCTCTCCGGTGCTGGACAGACACACTTCCCAGCTTCTCCCCATGCAGGCACCTGTGGCAGGGGAGTGACACAGGGACATTTCCTGGCTGTCTCCAGGCCCTGGACAACCCCCTCCCATCAGGAGGCCCTGCAGGACCACAGGGTGCCTGGAGGTTCCCACTTCCCACCCCACCAGCACTGACCCCCGGCTGTTCACCACCATGAAGACCCTCCTGGAGCGTCCTGGCTGCTCCACGGTGGTCCCGTAGCACTGGTCCACATGGATCTTCATGGAGAAGCTGGGACTGAAGCGAACACTGGCTTCCAGATGGATGGCAGAGCTGGGGCTGAGCACCAGTGGCTGCCCTGTGGTACTGGGGTCCCCTGAGGGAAGTGTGGGTTCAGTGTGACACCCCCAAACCTGGCCCACCAGAGTCAGGGACACCAGGCACATCCCAGACCACCACCCACCAGTGTCTTGGCCTCCGTCCCTGCAGCTGCCCCATTTCAGAGCCCACCCCATCCCTAGAAGCCAAGGGCTGACCTGGTTCTGTCCCCCCTGCTCTCCAGAGCTGCAGCACCTTCTTGGACCCCCCCATGGAGCTGAGAGGGACCATGTCAGGCCCCATCAGGGTCAGAGCTGACCCTCAAAATCCCATTGTTGTATCAGACACAGGATTAGGAACATCTTAAAGCCCTGCCATCCAAAGCTCTACACCCTCCACAAGACGGGGGGGGAGCTCCTGCAGGGACAGCCACCTTCTCCTGGTGGTCCTAGTGCTGAGGCCAGCCAGGAGAACCCACTGGGTGCTGCTGATTGAACCCAGGGGTCTTGGCTGGACCCATCCCATGGTCTATCCCCAAAAGTTGTCCCCCAAGACCCCCAGAGCACTCACCATCCAGGAGCCTCAGGGTGAAGTTCATGATGGGCTCCTCAGAGCTGGAGTGAGCAGGAACCTCCCATGTCCCCATGTCTGAGGACACCATCAGAGCTGTCACCATGTGACCAGGGGGCTCTGAGGCAGCTGGAGCCATGGTGGTCCCTACAGCAAGGGGAAGGCTAAGCCAGCAGCAGCATGTCCCAGACACAGCAGGGACACCCAGGTCCTCAGGTGTCCCCAGGACTCATGGGGGGCAGGTGACAGCAGCACAAAGGTGGGCAGAGCACTCAGGAGCCCATCAGGGGCTCCTCCATCCCCAGGCAGGAACTGCTGCAGCAGGAGCACTCCCAGCGCTTGACCGGGGCTGGGGACAGACCAGGAGCTGCTCATGGGGTGGTGAGACTACTGCCAGCAGCCACAGACCCCACTGGAGCCTCCGCTACCCTTCCCAAACCTCCCAGACCTGCTGGGACCTGAGGGAGCTCCCAGCAGGCCCCTTGCCCCAGCCACACATCCCCAAAGCTTGGGGTCATTTCAGGAAGGCTCCTCTCCACCAAGACAACCTGCACCAGCAGATCCAGGTGACCAGCACATGGCAAAGCCAAGGGCACCCACCACCCACCTTCCCCAGCACAACCAGTGGGGGGACCGAGGGGGTTCCCAGCCCCACTCACCTGCCACCCCCAGCACAGCCCCACACAGCAGCACCAACCAGCACAGCTCCATCCCCAGTGAGCAGCAACCCCCACCCCACCACCTGGGGGTCTTTTAAGGACCAGGGCTGGGTGCCAATGGGCCCCAGCTGGCACTGATGGGTTTGGGGGCTTTGTTGACCCTCTCTGCAGTCAGCAGCAGCCCTACACCTGGAGCTGCTCCTACCCCTCACACCTTCCCAGTCCCACCACAGGGGTCTGCGCCCACTGCCCAGTTCCTGTTGTGTCCCACAGTCCCACTCCCACCACTCAGACTGATCCTGCAGGTGGTCCTGAGCATGGCCCCATATCCACCAGTTAGTCCTGGTCCCACATCCACCAGTCAGTCCTATTCCCGCGCGTGGTGCAGGTTCCACCATGTAGTTGTGGTCCTGGTCCTCAGCAAGGTTCAGATCCCACCACTTTGTCCCATCCCCAGTTAGTCCTGGTCCTGTGCATGGTGCTGGTCCTACCATGTAGTTTTAGTCCTGGACATGGTGCTGGTTCAAACAGTTTGCCCTGGTCCCAGTTCATCACATGGTCTGGTCTCATCACTCAGCCTTGGTCCCATGGATGTTCCTGGTCCCATCTCCATGGTCCTACATGAGGTCCTAGCCCCACCACAGTTTTGATCCCATTGTCATGATCCCATGGATAATCCCAGTCCCACCACAGAGTCCCAGTCCCCAGTGCCCCATCCTTGTCCCATCATGATCCTGCTCTCAGTTCTGCAGGACAGGGAGCCCATTTGGGAACAGCAGTTTGGACCCAACCAGGACAGACACACGTGTCCCTGTGTCCTGCCTTTCTCAGGTGTCCCCAACACCCACCCCACCAGAGCCCCTCTGTGTGGGCTGAGCTGGTGGCCTGGGTGCAGAGGGACAGGGAGTGTGTCCATGATGTCTATGGGGACATCACCCTGGGTGGGCTCTGCATCCAACCTGCCTGGGACGGGGATTTTCCATCCCACATCTATAGAGGCAACTAGTGGCCAAGGTGGGATTTGGTCCCTGGTGCCAGCAGGAGACCTCAGCATGTCATGGGGAGACACCTGTGGACCTCTGGGAGGTGTCCTCGGTGCTGTCCCAGTGTCTGTGGGCAGTGTCACACACAGGTGAGTTGGCGGCAGCAGTGGTGGCTGATGCCCCTCCATGGCCACCCCTGGAACAGGGTGCACCCACCAGCAGCAGAGCTGTAACACAGTGGCTGGAGTGACTTGTGTCACATGTGATGGCTGTCCCATGGTTCAGTGTCCCTGTGAAGCCAGCAGACCTTCCTGGTGCCACCTGCACACCACAGGAACGTCCTCAGCACCCGGCAGGGACAGCAGGGACAGACCCAGGTGCCCCTCTTGCTGTGGGGGTCTCGTGCCTCAGCACTGCTCGGGAGACACAGGTCTCCCCACCCCCAGGGCTGATGGGAGCTGGGATCGACCCCGCAGGAGGAGCAGGGACTGGCAGAGCGTCCTGCTGTGGCCACACGCTGTGGCCTCACACTGGGACATCCCCACCCCATCCATCCCATCCTGGAGAAGGAGGTGGCTGGAGACTGGCTGGCCAATCCCTACATTAAAAACTGCCAAATACACAATTATCTTACAAAAGTAGAATTGTTTTTTTATTCCTGGTCTTTACAGAAGGAGCCAAACACGTGTGGGAGGCCAGGGGGGTCCCTTCTCTGCAGGGGAGGCTCAGCCACCGGTGCCACCTCCGTGCCCAGCCAGGGCCACTCTCGGCAGGACACAGTGTCACCGGGGTCATCCAGCCCAGCTGGGACACAGGAGGTCTGTCCCCAAGGCAGGGTGGGGACACACCCTGTCCTTGGTGTCCCCACCATGCCCAGGATGGCATCACAGGGGCAGTGCCCACCACACCCCGCTCCCTATCTCCTCCCCACACCAGTTCTCACCAGACCCCATCAGCCTTCTGGGATGTCCCCTGTGGGAACCAGGGGCACGGGGCCCTCTAACTGGGATGATGGGGGTCAGGGAGGGGGTGCCCTTTGCCCACAGGGACCTGTTGATAAATGCCGGGGCTTTTGGAATGGGTTTTCCAGTCTCCAAAGGGCTCTGGGTGGCTCTGGCTCATAGCCTGCCGTGGCATGATGGCTGTGGGTGGGCTGAGAATGTGCTGTACTTATCACACCCATGGGCAGCAGGCTCCAACATTCCAGCATCCCAAAACCAAGACTCAAAGGGGTGATTTGAGGAGCCCTGAAGGGTGGGGTTCCCTGTGGGCAGTTCTACCCACCCTGGGCAAGGGGGACCCTCTGCCACTGCTGTCCTAGCACATCCCTGCCCACACTGGGCTGCCCCCAGCAAGGTGGGGATGGATGGATGTCCTGCTCCCGCTGTGACAGGGCCACGTCCTTCACAAATACCTCCTCCAGTCTTTCCGTGGGGAAGGAAGAAGTGGATCCTGCAGGAAAACACCGTCCCTGAACCCTCAATCCTTGACCCTGTGGGTGGAGGCAGAGTCTCCAGTCTCCAGCCCAAGCTGGGGCTCTGCAGGAAGGTGGTGGAGAGTCCCACCAAAAGTTCCTGGGCGCTGGACCCTCCAGCCAGTTCCAAACCATAAGAACCACGAGTAAGAAAAACAAAAGCACCTGGTTCTTCCCCGGGGGGAGCGCGGCACCCGCCAGCCCCTACCACTTGAGGAAGTCCCGCACGTAACTCCATAGCTTGGTGATCCAGAGGTTGGCCCCCAGGTCAGTCAGGTACTGGATTTCGGGCGTCAGCATCTTGCGGCACAGCTTCTGGTGCTTCTTGTTGATCTTCTTCTTCAAGTTGTACCCCAGGATGGTCTTCTCCCCCAGGGGCTGCCAGGGCTGCATGGAGGACTCTTGGATGGCGCTGGCATCCACGGCGTGCCCCCCGTCGATGCAGATGCTTGTCATCTTCTCGTTCTCCCTCTGCAGCTCGGCCACGTCCTTGGCCATCCTCTCCCTCCCGTAGGCCTCCACCTTGCGCCAGAAGGTGGCATTGAAGTAGCGGTAGAGCTTGGCGTCGATGAGGTTCCAGGCAGTCGCCTGCTCATACAGCTCGGGGGTCAGCCGGGACACGGTGGAGCCCTTGCGGGCGTTGAGCTTGAAGTAGAGGACATCCTCCAGCTGCCAGCACAGCAGGTCCTTCAGCAGCACCAGCGACTCATCGAAGTACTCGAGTAACATGACGAGGTGGAAGCGGCGGTCGATCTCGCGGATGTGCTCCTCCACCAGCGGGCTGCCCGCGTCCATGGTGTTGTCATAGCCGAAGTCAAAGAAGAGGAGGTTTTGGAGGTAGTGAGCGTTGAACCCGTTGGGGTCGTAGTAGTGCTGGGGGTCCCGCAGGAACTCGGCCAGCTTATCCTCCCCCGTTATCTTCCAGGTGAGGGGGATGACAGGCCCGAAGTAGTGGAAGGAGGACTCGAAGAGGTGGGCGGGGTCCCGCAGCACCGTCACGAAGGTGGCGTCGGGCGGCAGCAGCTCCCGCACCTCCTCGTAGTGGAAGCGCATGTGGTTGCAGATGATGTTGAAGCAGCGGCCGGGCTGGTAGTGCTGCACTTGGCTGCGCTCGAAGAACGACGGGTAGTAGAAGTCATTGCGGCCATTGGGGAAGGCGAATTTCAAGTGATGCTTCTCCCCGAAGCGGAAGAGGATGTTGAGGATGGTGCTGCTGGCAGTCTTGTGGGTCTTCATGAACATGACGTTGAGCTTGGGCCGGCAGCTCCTTCCTGAGGGGCTCCCTGTGCCGTTGGACACCGCCGGAGCCCTGGCGGGGGACGGGCGGGAGGAGCAAGAGGAGAGGACAGGGATCCTGGGGGGAGAAGAGACAGGACTGTGGTGAGGTAAGGGCGGCCCCATCGCTGTGAAGGGTCTGGCATGTTCTGTCCTGGA